GTCTCAAAAAAAAAAAAAAAGAAAAAAGATTCTTCTGAGCTTTTATAGTGATGATCATGAAAAAAGACCTCGCTGAAAGAACAAATCTTATAAAATCATAATGTAAATCTTTGTTTACTGATGCCATACTCAGAAAGTCTAAAAACTTCAATTTTATAAAAATAACAATGAAGTTTCTCAGATAATGTTCACCAAAGATACTCAGTTTCTAATTTCTATAGCTCTTAAAATTTTAATATGACCTATTACTTCTTAGTTTTCTCATTCTGATCCACTACAGGCAAGATCATTTGGATTCTGCTAATAATTTGTCAAATCAATTCAGACTATAAGCAGGATTTACAGGTTTATTAACTACTAATGATTGAGATCCATACAAGATCCAACTTTAGCATGTAATGGAAAAATACTAAGATTATATTTGGATAATATGTTTTAATATAAATTTATAAGCTATTTTTCAGCCTTGAGTAGGAATTGTTTTTATTTAAAATGTCTACAATCCAAAGGGTTTATTTTTATTTGAATTTTATTTCAAAGAAATTAATGAGGATCCTTATAATACAATTACCTATGAAACAAAATTAAAATAACTATAAAAAGCAGGAACATATATTCCTGCTTTTAGATATTACTCTGTTCACAACTAGTGTACGAAAATTAACATAAAAGCTGTATCCATTCCTAAAGTTATATGTACATTACTACTTCATTTATGTCTTCGATGGGAAGGAAAACAGTCACTATCATGAACCTCATAGTAAAAACTGAGGAAACAGTTTAAAGTCATCAAGAAAACAGTTTGTGTAAAACAATAAATCAAGTTATAGAATACACGGTCACCAAATATCTTCTATATAATATCCTTACCGATCATCAATACTGTTTTGATAATATATATGTAGCAATTTGTCTTTGATCCATGATATCTGTTTTGCAGCATCTTTTCCAGCTGCTGATTGTAAAGCATATTTCTTATAAATTTGGGCAAGTCCCATCATGGCTTCTTTGCGCACTCTCCACTTAAAATAAAAAAAAAAGTTTTCATTATAATGTAAAAATATTTCTCTTATATAAATTTAAGAAAGCCT